TTTCGAATCTCTTGCGATGATTTAATATTTGATCGACTCTGCATACGAGAAGTCAAAATTATGATTTTCGATCAGCATTCACTTCTTTTGCTCTAACACCGTTATCAAATATTTTATCAAATACAAATGTTTATTAACGTGCACAATCTTGTTTGTTCTAGGTACGGATTAATAGCTTTATTAGAATAAACGAAAATAATGAACTTTTGATCAATTTTATTGGTTAAAAATTGTCATTATCATAATAAGCCTGAGGGACAAAAAATCAGATTGTTTCTGTTTTCAATAATAAAACTGATAAATATTGGACGATGCACACGTATTGAAAAGACCAATATTTAAAATAATATTTAAATGTATTTGGCATTTTTTTTTTCAGTCTAGACAATCAATCAAATCGACAAATGGAACCGGTGCTTTGATAAACATTACATCTAATAGAAATACCGTATTCTATTGTCACATTTAATTAATCGAATATATTTGATTTAGACAATATCCGCGTGTTTCAACGCAAACGCATTTCTAGAAGACAAACGTCTAATATCTTACAATCCTTTCAAATGGCAAAGATCTTGGAATATTCTCGAGGAAATTCATGTGTGCATATACGAAAATCTATACATATCCAGGGTAATAAAACGCATCATTTTTTACGACTCAATTTTTTTTCCTTTTTGATAGAATAATATTCTTATTGATAGAATAATTGTCACGTTCCATATTGAAATGGATCAGAAATAAGAATTCATTAAATGCAATGCTTTTTTAAAATGGATAACGGTAAATTTAATAGTATATTAAAATGAAATTTTAGCGGAAAACTGTTCTATCAAATATTCACAAAATCTATAATTGCTGTGTGTCGGTTATTGCTCGATAATTTTGGTGCTTTGAGCATTTTAAATTCATTGCAAAAACGTTTATAATATTTTTTAGAACGTTTTGTTTAAGAATGTTTGTTTCTTAGCTAAAACAGATGTAAAATTTTATAAACAAAAATTGTTCGAATTTTTTTTCACTAAATCTAAGCAACAAAAAAAATTAACAATGTAAAAATCGCAAAACAATGAATCAACGTCATACTGTTTCTTATTTTTCTACTCTTTTATATCATAACCTATGTAGACACAGAAAAACATCCAAAGTGCAAGGTTCTTCATGAAAATTACCCCAATTTTCAAAGACAAATGTGAAAAATCGCTTAGTTTTTCTTTGTTTCCAACAAAGTGCATTGGCAGAAGGGCACACCTATTGGCGGCAGTTCACGAGACACTTGGACAAGTATTGCCATGGCAACGAGCCGAGCAAAACCTCGTTGCGAAATACGAATTAATATTCTACAAAATGCTTCACGTTGGCGGTTTTGGTCCGGGAATTGCAATTATTTTAATCTCTATAATCGCGTCTATTTTTGCATGTATAACATACGGACGATCGAAAGGAGTGTAAGTAATTAATATATTTGTTGTTACGCATAATGCAATGCAGATTGTATGCGCGAATGCAATTTTTATAGTCCGTCATCTGTTTTGTGCTCGCATAGCTGCGCTTTTTTGCTATTCAATCAGCATTTATCTTGTCGAGACGCCATTTTCCGGTTACTAACTAATTAAACATTCAATAATTAACTTTTGTCTATCTTCAAATGTTTCGCTTTCGTCAAAATCGTGCTAAACATTCTAAAGCATATAGACGCGCCAGGTAACGTTGTTGTCTTTCGACAATCTCATAATAGTTTTTGGGACTGACTCAAAAATCGAAAAACAAATCCGACAGCAAGTGTTGCGGAAGCCACGGTGTTACAATACATGATATTCTTTAAAAAAAATTTGTCGTAGATTAACGAAAACAACAACACATTGCATCATCTCGCAAAAGACACTTTGTATTTCTGAGTGTATTTCGACTTAAAATTTGTACTTCGGGGCAATAGATAATATACTATGTGGGATAGTTGATGTTTAAAAACAATTGTTTTTTAGGAAGACTACAGCGGCTCCACTAACTATCAAGCTAATCACCAAATCTTTTCTAATTACAGATCGACGGTTGTATCAATTAGTCTGCTTGTACTTCTCATCTGCTTTGTGCTATATTATTGGCCCGTTCGTTCTGAAGGTGAAGACCAATGGATAACTGCCGATAGGACCGATTTTCTTCTCATTCCCCGTTTCGTTCTCATTATTTTTTTGTTCGCCACACTCATCTATATATTCGGAAAATTTACGCGCCTCAATTTGCTGCCTATTGTTCGTGCACAATCCACAGCAAATCGTCACGCGGATGATGGAATACCAGGGATCTATAATAAATAAAAAATCTGTCTTATTAAGAACACGGGTTCATCTCTCACGTATTCCTTGTATTTTCGTTTTTTACGACCTCAATTCGTCGTCTCGGCTTTTCTTTTCTTGATTAAAAAATGAAGAATTGAAACGATTTGTCTTGTTGAGTTATTTGCTACGCATTCATCAAAGGTAGGCACCAATATAAGGAATGTGTGTCAAAATGATAAATTGAAGTTCATCATTTTTGTCTTGAAAAGCGTGATATCGACTCAAAGAGGCCAATTTTTTAAATTACAATGACAAACTCAGCGCAAACAAAAAACAAGTTTAAGCAAATCTAGAAAAATAAATTAATTAAACTTCCAAATTTTAATTTGATTTATTTGATAAGAAGCAACACTCCCTTTACTTGTTCATCCATCCGCACCAATAAAAAAGGGAAATAAACGAATAAATTATTCCGAAGTTTGTTTCAAAACGAAACAAACATTTTATGTCCCTATAAAGCCAATATTATGTATCGAAATCGAATTGGAATATCCATCGTTTTTTTTTTAATACCGATTCTGACAAATTAATTTCGACGTCATTGCATTCAGCAAATAAAAACCTACTCGAACGTTGTTGAATGTACTGGAACGTGGGTGTCTTCAAGCAGTACAATTGCATTTTTCAAGAACCATTTCAGGCTGCATATTGGCAAATACTCGAAAGCTCAATTTTGACTTCTAGTGTATGTTTACACTAGTTGACGTCGTTGAGTTAGATCCAAAAAAATTCGATTGTATTTGGTTTCCAATTTCTGTCGTTAATTTTGCCGAAATATTAAAAAAGAAAGAAATAGCATTTCAAAAAATGTTTTGTAGAAGTTTCGATATCTCCAATTCTGGTTGTCTCTAGAAACGAAAAAAAAAACTACGGATGGATTAGGCCCATAAAATTGGACGGACCAAAAATCCTGGCATGAAGTTTTCAAATTCACATTACGAAAAATGAAAAATTTGCATTCTGAAATTGCTTCACAGGATGCAAATTGCAGCAAGCTTATTGCAAAAAAAGTTTGCAAATATTCGAATTGTCTTCATTTTTGAATTTCATAATCTTTTTCCTATTTAATGAAAAAAATTTTTATTTTTTGAAATTAATCGCTTTTTCAACCATCTGCTCCTAATAATCTTTTTAAAAAACCAGCAACCGAGATACTTAAGTTTTTTTGCATTTCAAAAAACAATACCAGTATGTATTTCTAATAAACGTAAGCTCAAATTTCAATTTCCTATGCCTGATTTAGAGAGTCTATTTGTAAGTCCCCTCCTGATATATTTAGTTGTTTTAACTGGAATGCCTCTTTTGGAATTTCCTTTTTTTTTTGAAAAATCCACTGGCGCTCTGAGAAGATAGGCAATGAATTTTTTCTAAAAAAAAATTGGTTTTGGTAATATTAGGGTCAAAACGCAGTTAAAATAATTGGTTTTCATCCTATTTCCTATAAAATTGAATGGGGTATGGTACAAATTATATAGTCCATCGCGTGACAAAATATAATGCGTTTTTGGACCATATGCGTTTTATTGGAAGACGACTTCAATTTCCGAATAAGAAATTGAAGCGAATCGGATCAGATTTCGAAATAACCATAAGGTTATAGGGTGAACCATCGAGTAAATCGTTATTTTCTCTAATAATCTATACAACCTGAATTAACATTATTTTGGCACTTTATCATACTATTTTTTATAGGTTTAATCACACGATAGACATATACTTTTCACCAACATTTCTACAGTGCCAAAATAAAAAAAAAGTAAAGAAATTTTTTTACAAGTAATCATATTCAAACAACTGGCAATTGTTGAAATGTATAAATAATAGTGTTTCAATTCAAAACCCAAAAGTTATTTTTTTTTCATGAGAAATAGTATTAAAAAACATTTTGTTCGAAAAAGGCGAAAGAAACCTTGAATTATTGAAACAGTTTTTTGCAATTCTTTAAAAACTGAAAGCATTCAAGATGACTTAAAAATATTATTGTCGCGGTAAAAAACAATAGTTCACAGGATGTTTTCCGGTTTTCTTTTAAAATGTTCCATTCATACGTTTTCAGATACGTTTACTTCTGTCCTAGAAATATTCTCGCCTATGAGGTTTCTATTTTATAAAACATCAGTTAGTTTTCTGTTTCTTATTTTTCTAGAAAATTCCTATTCATTCATTTATTCATATAAGAATGCCTATACACATTATATTTTGTTCGAGTTCCGATAGAATAAATTACCATATTTTTGAATTTCTTTTCCCTAAAATGGTAAACGAGAGGTTATTTGTGCAATGATTTGAATTGTCTTCAAACGTTTATTATTTCTGCTCGTTTTTCAGCGCCTGAGCTTATTTTGGAATATGCGAGGCGGAATATGATTGAATGTTTTTCAAAACAATTTCAAAAAAATCACATCTTGCATGTTTTTATTTCTCGTTTTTCCCATTCAAAATATTCATGAATCCTCATCGGAACATTCATTCTTGTTCGTCATTGCCGTCGTCGTCGTTTTCAAATCCTCGATGTTCTTAGGGGGGCGTGGTCGGGGCGGTCTTCAACCACACCCCCTTTTTGGAGCTTGGAGACACAAGCGCTTTCTTCATTCAGTTTTGTTTCGCATTTCATCGATGTGCGCTTGCGCAACTGATTTTCATTGTTTTCTAGGTACCACTATGATGAGCATCACTCGCCTCGTCTTCTTCTTCCTAGTTGCCGTTTGTGCCGTTGCCCTTGCCGCTCCGAAACAAATGGTATTCGGTTTCGGAAAACGGTAACCAATTCATAAACATCAATTCCTATGGCAACATCTTATTTTGAGATCTGCCGACGCTTACGACGACGAGCTCGTTCAACAAATTCCCATGAAGCGCTACAAGGTTATAAATCCCATCTGATATTCTATCATAAACTCGTTCAATTTCAGCCGAAGAGCTTCGCTATGGGATTTGGCAAGCGCGCCAACGTTCGTAGCTTCAACATGGGCTTCGGTAAACGTTCTGCTGCTTATGAATATGGTATGAAATGAATTCTAAAAGTCTATGTGTCTGTTATAGTTATTAGTTTTTATTTATTTTATGTGCTAAGCTTCGTATCTGATTCATTGAAGTCGCTTTTTACCAGATGAGCACAACTATATTTAGACCTTCAAGGCTATTGAGCGAAGCCACTCGGTTCAAGCATATCGACTACAATACCGCTATCACATCTCCGTTTACACAGAACACTCATCCCAATTTATGTCTCTTTTTGTATGTCTCTCTCAATTCATCCAGCTGGTCTCTCCACTCAATCTGAAAATGCCCATCAAGTTCAGATTCAAATTGTACGATCTCAGCAAGTTAATGTTCGTTTTGTAATACCGCACAATGTGGCTATATAAACCGTTCTAGTTATTTGCGACGCTGCTTATATGTTGCACAAGCTTTCAATATTGAATCGTCCTTTCGAAAAAGAAAATCTGGAATGAATGGAGGCAAACAAAATGAATATGTCGTGTTGAAAAGCATCAATGTCGTTCGCTGTGGAATCAAAATAAGAACGTTCACACGGTCCTCTCCGTGTTCAAAAAACTTCTTCGCGAATTCATTACCATTGTCAATTCGTGAGAAAAAAATGAACAAGTAATTTTAATCATGATTATGCGAACCTTTTTGCCTATACAGTTGTTGTCGTCAAACAAAGAAATATATGAGAACGGTTCTTATGAATATATGTTCAAAACTCTGATTCGAAAGCTTTCAAGTCATTGTATTGTGTTTGTTTAATGCGATGAAATAAAACAGAAATATTTCCATCATATGGAAAGAAATAAACCATGGAAATCGCAGCAACGACGCGACGCCAATTTCAATCAATTTTCTGTTTTTTCTCGACGTGTCACACCTTTTTCCTCTCGCAAAACGATAGATTCTCCCTTCTTGAATAGAAAATCTAAAGTACTAAAACAATGAAAACGTTTTGTCTTTTTATGCCCAAATAAGCATTGGTGCCTTGGTAGGGAAGTGTGAAATTTGGTCGTCAATAGCGAATTGCAATTCGGAAACTTGTAATTATGAGATTTTTCTTCTTTTTGTGATAAATCAACAAAACACATATTTTAACCCCATCCTAAAAAAAATCCTTTTTTACCGATGAACAAAAGATTTTTTCAATGGAAGTGTAATCAATAAAAGTTTTTTACTTAATCAACTTGAACATATGTGCCATTAATCATTAATGAATAAAGTTTGGCGCTTTCGAAATGTGTTACTCATGCTGATTTAAAAAAAAATTATCGCCGCTTGTTAGTAAAACATTTTTTGTTTTGGAAAAAATGATATAATTTTATTACAATCGATTAATTACTTTCTAAAATTTGATGTGTTTTGTAGAGTTCAACCCATTGCGTATGGGACGGTCGCTTAAGGACGAAACGCGCTGGGGACGCAAATTCTCGATGGGGCTCGGCAAGCGAGCTGCCGGAAACGTTGACGTATGTAGTTTTTCTCATTTTTGGACATTGAAGCTCATCGAAAATTTTTTGAATGCGTAATTGTTTTACGTGCCATCAATTATTCACCAAACATTTTACGTTTTCATATTTCAGAGCTTTGGGGATGATGGGCTCAGCGATCAGTAGACTCAATTCGTCAACAAAAATTCTCCGATAGATCCAATTTAGCATCGATTACGACAGTTTATCAATCAATCAAGCAATGTCAAATAATTTATTTATTTTATCCTCAACGAAAAACTTCAATTCATTTGATGAACTTGGCTTATTAAAATATTTGCCTCATTGTCATAAATGGAGTTGTTAGATATTCATCAAAACAGTAAAAAGTAAAGTGGATAAGCGAGATGTTCATTAGAAATAGAAAATTAGTGCATTCTTGGAATAAAAACATTCATACACACAGAAAGGGTATTTCACAAACTAAAAAAATTATCTAAAAATCAATTGTTTGTATAGTCGGCGTCCGGCGACTGCTGTACGCGGGTATATTTACGAGCATGCGCCTTGAAAAGGTCTCGCCACGCGTGAATGCTTATTTTGTTGTTTTCAAGTGAACTTCTTCATTTTTCTTGATGAGTGTCGCATTTTTTAAATTTCCAACGTCATTCGATTAAAAATTTATCGAACCCGACAATAAGATTTGAATTTTTTTTAAAACCTGTGAGTCCTTGCGAGACCATTTCGAAAGACGCAATCCAATCCCGTAAATTTACCTCCGTACAGCAGTCGCCGGACGCCGACTACAACAAAATCACAAACATTTTTCAAAAATTTAGATAATGTTTGTTGTCATTGTTTTTAATTAAATTGTTAAGTGGTGTGTGTTTAAGAATATAATAATGTACGTATCCATAATTCATGTTTTACAATGTCGGAGATTTAAATTCCAATCTTTCGATATAATGGTTTTAGCAGACCCTGTGATCTCTTGCATCAATGATTTAATCACGATCACAAATCATTGGGTTCCTATAGCGGTTTGTCGACCATGCTAACTTATCATTGTCGCCGTGTCGCCTCTTCTTTGTGGGCTGGTTTTTCCTGTTTTCCCCACATCGCTATGTTGTACATATAGCTGGGGGCACCACACCGACGAACAAAAAATGCCAATAACAAGTGAGAAGGAGATGAGAAAAATCAACCGGCGCGATGCTTTTTTCACGTTGGCATCCGACGATGGTGTTTTGTGAGCATCACACGGGAGCACGAGCAGATACAAACGCTCACACACTCGCACGCGCTTCCTGATCATCGTATTGTTTCGACTCTTCTTACACTGTGTGAAACACTCACTGAAAATAACCGCCGCTGTCGTCTTGTCGGAGGCGGTTGGACAATAGCGTTCGGAGCATGGAGATCCGATAGATGTGAAACAAAAATCGAAAGATATCCAATTTTTCAACCAAAAACCCCTGATTATATATGAATTGGCTTATTACATACATGCCTACTGGATTCTTCTCGCGTCTTTTAACTTTTTTCCAAGCGCAAAATTGATCGTTGCCCCCAATTCATATATCAACAAGATTTATTGGTATACTGAAAATACTTTACAATAAGTCGACATCGGCAAGCTATTTTTTAAAGTGAACATTTTTCAGAGCACTAATTAATATAATTAATGATTCCATGAAGCGACAGTTGGCCATTGTAAACTGAGAAAAGGTGATGTGTAATATATACGTGGGAAGCATTTTGAAAGTAAAAACAATTCAATGATAATAGTACAATGCAGATTTAGAAGAAAACTGTTTAAAACCGATTTTTACTGGATTTTAAAGTATTTTTCGCTTCAGAAATTTGCATGATACCATCAATAATATAAAACAATCAAGGATATCATTGGTAGGAGTAAAAGAATACTAATCAGTAATTAATTCTACCTACCGTAATCAGCTACCGAAATTAATTTAAGAGAAACCATAAAATCTCAAAAAGTTATTGATATATTGGTTTTGAAAATTGTTAATTATTTTATAGTAAGGGAATAGACTAGTTTTATAACTTAAACTTTCATTTAAAAAAAATAATGTAATATACCTTGTTACAATTTTTTTCAAAGATCATAACACACACACACACACATTACATTTTTCAACTTGAGACGTAATATTTCACGTCTCGAAATAATAGGTTACGAGAAAATATTTTTCGCAGTATCATTTATAAGATAATAATTAATAGTTATTTTTAATAATTATTTTATAATAAATTCACACTATTAGATTATTTGTAGGCAACCAATATTTACACTTGGCTTAATTGTTTTCTCTTTGCCATTTTCCCATTGTTTTTTCTTCGAAAACTTCTGTTGGTGTAAAACAAAAAATCTCGGAATTCCGTACGAAATGTGTTAATAATAGTCGAAATTCGATGGGATTTGAAACGTTGCCGCCGAGAGTTTAATGCAGTGGTCATTTCGAATTTTACACTACCTCCTCGATTTCACACTGCTGCCTGCGATGTTGAATAAATACGCCGGTGATGAATCTCGACAAAAAAATCGTTACGCAGTTTAATTAAACACAAACCAATAGATATGTGTTCCAATGCTTTCGAACTAATTGTCCACAGATATCTTGCAATAAATCAAAGTTGGGCATGCGTAAAAATCTAGAGAGGTCACGTAGAACGAAAAAATATTTTTTTAATCAGGAAATAATATATTTTTCTAGGGATTATATAATAACATAAAATTATAAAATTTTGAAATTACGAACTGAAAATAATTTTAATATCACATCTTTAGAGTTATTTATATTGGAAATAACATTTTAAATTAAAATTTGTTTAAATACTAGTTAATTAATAATATCAATTTGAATATAATCTTGTATATTTGATCTGATCATTTTGAAAATTGCAATACAAAAACTATTCTATATAATTCAGAAAACATATAATATCTTAGATTTTTACCAATAAAATTAGAAAACATTAAAAATTATGAATTTATTCATTGAGAAACTTTTCATCAATCTGGATTTTAGAAATGTTCCAAAGTTTCAATACGTTTCATATAATATTAATAAACATTACAATTTTTTATATTTTTTTTTCAAAAATTCTTCTAAAGTTATATTTTATTATTCTCAATAATTTGCCTGATTATTGAGCAGTTAGATATCGGAAACCTATCGTCTATTAGTTATCTTCGTATGTGTGTAGCACGAATAATTCATCGACGGTTCCACCAACAATTGGAACCAACCTGAAACAAATTTCAAAGTTCACATAGCTTAACTGCAAATTTATTGGCATTTATTTTAAACTCAGATCACGACTGAGGTTTCCAGATGATTTCGATTTTCACATTAAAATAATGATGGACTTCATTATTGAGCTGACGTGAGATATTTCAGATTATACTTTCGCAAAGGTAGAGCACAATGGTTTTTTTTGAAAAGTCACCTCTTTGTTGTTTATCTCATGATTACACATTTTAGAGGTGGTCCCTCGTTCAATAAGTTCGACGATGAAAAGCACACACCCAATTCGTTTAGCTTCTTCTCAATTTTCATTCCTCATTGCCTGGCCAGCAAGTGCTCAAGCTTCATAACCCTCTCGGTGTCGCTTCCAATATATTGTGGGATCACTAGTCCTCCCACTCATTGGCCCGAGGTTGACTCCCATTGCTTGTCTCGTGAGATACATTGAGACGAAAGAAGATGAAGGAGAAGCATCTATCGTTTCGTCTCGCTCACCGGGACATTTCAGTTCTGTTTTCGAGCATTGGCTTGTTGTGTTTGAGGAAGCCTGTTGGAGATCATCAGTGAGTGACTGATGGTTATGTTCATCTTTTTGTCGTTTGTGTTTTCCACTCTTCGCTTTGAAAAGTGTTTCTTTCCAATCAAAAATCATCCGACGCCTACTCCTCGAGCAATAGGTCAAACGATCTTGTTCCAGAACATTTGTGTTTGTTTTATTTAAAACATTTGTTTGTTCGTTTTCGGGTCACATTCACATCTACTTGACTTAATCATCTACCATTCATCGTACACCTTGTAATTTTTACTTTCACATACCTACTTTGGCAACGTACGATTATTTATGTTTCAAAAAGATTAAAACAAATTTGAATAAATCTAATTCAGAGTCATGTCTGAGGCAGATATCCAGGAAGAGTTCCACGACGCTCAAGAAGAAGCTACCATCGAAGTGCAAAAAGATCTTGTTGCTGAAATCGACCAAGAAAACAGCAACCTTCCTGCCGGTATTTTTCTAACATTGGAAAGAATAATGGAAGTGCAAATTAATAAAATATAAATCTTCAAAATATTAATTTGAGCAAATTATTCTGTGAATTTATGGACCAATACTTCGAATTTTCTCAAATAATCGTATATAATATTTATTTACCAAAGAATAACTATTTACGTTGAAATTCATGTAATTTCCAATTGAGGGTAATTTTTGGTTAAGGTTAACAAATGAGTGCCTCTTGACAACTGACGTTTCGTTTTTGCCTCATTCATAATTGTAATGCCAAAAAGCACATTAAAGAAATGTGAAAATTGATGAGTTTTAACATCATTTATTTAGAAGAGGGCGATGCGTTGGTAACCGCGGAAGCCGACGATGAGAATAGTGCTCAACAGGTCGACGAGGATCGTACCGAAGATCAGGTAACATGATGTGTCTCAGTAAAAAAATCGCAATGTTTTGATAAGCATGTTGCGAAAGCAGTTTCTTTTAAAATTTGAAATTTGTGCTTGTAGTGTAGAAGTTTTTCATACTCTTATTCTTTGATATTTTGAAGCAAAAAATCAACAAGTTAACAGCTGCCACGTAATATGTTGTAAATAATAAATCGAACATTCCCAATGCATATTGAAAAGCTTATGTCTTATTTATTGATACAATTGAGATAGAAAAATATAGAACACAAACAACGCGTAGGAGTCGAAAGCCAAACCCCCAAAATCCCCCTGCGATCGTTTAGATTTTTTTTTCGCGTCGGCAAACAACCAGTCATTTCCTATCAACGGAGTCGATTTGCTTCCGATTTAAATGTTTTTATCCAATATTGAGTATCCATAAAAATGTCCCACACATGTGTGCTTTCAGTAATAAATTCGGCTCTTATTTCTATCATTCAGGTCCCCGATATTACTGGAACGGAGTTCGTGGACCCAATGACGACAAGCATGGATGGAATCGAAGAGCTTCCAGCGAACGAGGAAACTCAGGTAAAACAATGAGATTGATGGTAATGTACCTAATAATAAGAATATCTAATTCAAAGTTTGGTTTATGTATATTTAATAATTAAATTCAATAGACTAGATTTTTGAACACTACCAACTTACACATTCTTAAATAGTTTGGCGACGCAATCTTGGAAGAAGATGAGCTACCGGACCAACTCGAATCCTGTGATTATCAGGAGCCCAAATCGGATTTGTACTCATTGGAAATAATTGATGAGGAAATTATTGAAGAGGAATTTAAGGAAAACGACGATGTAAGTTGACTATCACGTAAATTTTATAATGTTTTTAGTTTATAACCTTTTCTTAACTAATTTTAACCAACAACTTTGCAACTTTCTTTATACTTTTTGTTTTTACTTTGCCATAAAATAATTTAATGGGTTTTATTCAGCAAACTGAGGAGTCTGCTCCAGCTGAGGAACCTGCCCCAGAAGATTCTCCAAAGGAAGAAGAACCAGCTTCTGAGCCACCAGCAGAGGAAGCTCCAGCTGAGGTTAATTTTTTAGCATTTTCATATCAACTCTCTAATGTTTTAGGCTGCACCAGCTGCAGAAGAAGAAGCTGCCCTTCCAGCTGAAGAAGTTTCGGCTGCTCAAGAGGCTGCTCCAACAGAGGAAGCTGCTCCAGAGGCAGATCAGTCTGCTCCAGCCGAAGAAGCTCCTGCTGTTGTGGATGCTGCTCCTGAGGTATTATTTAACGAATCAATTTTCGAATTAAAACAATGTTTTTAGACTGAGCCAGCAGCAGAAGAGGTGGCTCCGCCAACAGAAGAAACTGCACCACCAGCTGAGGAAGCGGCTGCTCCACCAGCGGAAGAAGCTCCACCTGCGGTATATACAAATTATATAATACTATTTAAATAGTAGGGTTTTTTATTTCCAGGAACCGGCCGCAGAAGAACCCACTCCAGCTGATGAGGCTCCAGTAGCTGAAGAGCCAGTTGTTGAAAAACAGGAATTCGAACTTCAAGCTCCACCAGAGGGAAAACGACCAAGAACTCCAAATGAGCTTGACAATCCGCCAGCAACTGAAGCAGCTCAGCAGATCATTGAACCAGAAGCTGAAGTTCCAGCTACTCCAACATCGGCTAAACAATCCGTCCCAGCTACACCAAAATCAGCTGCGCCAAGCGAGGTTCCAGCTACACCAAAATCAGCTGCGCCAAGCGAGGTTCCAGCTACTCCAAAATCAGCTGCGCCAAGCGAGGTTCCAGCTACTCCAAAGTCTGCTGCGCCAAGCGAGGTTCCAGCTACTCCAAAGTCTGCTGCGCCAAGCGATGTTCCAGCTACTCCGAAGTCTGCTGCACCAAGTGAAGTTCCACCAACGCCAAAATCCGCGGCTCCAAGCGAAGTAGTAGCTAGTCCAAAACTCGCTAATGGAAGCATTCCTGGAACTCCATCAGTGACGGCAGGAAGGTAAAAAAATTGAATAATATAAAGTTCCGAACAATCTTTCCTATCACTCTGTGTTATTTCATCACCTCTACGCACCTAACATTTCCATTCCACCTAATTTAATTTCCAGCACCAAGGTTACTCCAGCCGCTACACCAGCAGCTACTGCAACTCCAGCTGCTACAGCTACTCCAAAAACGGAGACTGCTTTTAACTTCGAAGAAACTCCAGCAACTCCAAAAACAAGCGTTCCAGCAACGCCCAAAGAGGATTTGCTGACACCAGCTCCGAAAACTCCACGCACCCCTAAGACTCCACGAACTCCCCGTACTCCAAAAACTCCAAAAACTCCAAAAACCCCTGCAGCTGCGTAAGTTATAACGAGTGCTTCTACTTTATTAATTTTCTAACTGTATGAAATAATGGTTAGATAGCTGAGCGTTTTCAGTGTCGAGCCAGAACCGGAGCCGGAACCAGTTGCTGAACCTGAGCCAGAACCGGAAGCTAAGTCTGAGCCGGAGCCAGTTGCTGAGGCAGTAACGGAACCAGCCGCTGAGACAGAGCCGGAACCAGAGGCTCAACCAGAGCCAGAACCAGATACTCAGCCTGAGTCAGAACCGGCTGCCGAGCCGGAACCGGAACCGGTTGCAGAAGAAACTGCTCCCGCTGCTGAGCCACAAGAGTCGGCTCCAACTTCAGAAGAGTCTATCGCAAAAACCGAAATCGCCCTCAATCAATCGGAGCCACCAGCGCGTGAATCATCGGGATCTCCTCCACCACGTCGGCGTGTTCAGTCACCAAGCCCTGAACGCAAGCGAACTTCTCGTCATGCCGATCGTGACATTACTACATACGATGAGGACTCCTATAGAACTGTTCCTCCGCCAAGAATGCCAACTGCTACTTCGTTTTCGTCGTGGAGTCCTCCAGACAAGCAAAGCTACACTCCAATCAGGTAAATATATATTTCTAAAGAATCATACATTCTCATTATTTAAGCCCATTCGTTAGCGCTGCCAACAAATACCGTAATGAATACACCTCTTCCACTTCCTACAGACCGAGCAACATCTACACTTCTCATTTTGATGATATTGTTAGCACTGGTAATGCTTGACCCTTATTTATATACTGCAATGTAAATTTCAGGAGCCTTCTCATCAGCCTTGTATTCCACCACACGTCTCATTGAAAGATCCCGCAGCCGTACTCGTGAGCGCAAGCAAGCCATGCGTTCGCAACGATCTGCTTCCAATTATTATAGGTAATTAAGAATAACTGAACTTACCACTTATTATATGTGTTTAAGATATATTTCCCAATACCCAGCACCAACTCGTGCTCGCGAATACTCTACCCCACCAACTCGTGCCGTCAGCAGACCACCAAGCCGTCAATCCTCCTTCATTTCGTTCCTGGACTACTCCGATGCTAAACAAGGAGAGCTCTCTAGAACAAATTCCCGCAGCTCTGTTTATGATTCGCTCTCAAGAAGCGGGTAAGAAATAAACGATCCGTGCGAATCAAGTTGATCTTACTTTACAGATCGCGCTCGAATGTTGATTTGTATGTGGGCGGTGGCCGTCTTTCCCGCGTTGATAGCTATGTTAGAGATATCCACACTCCATACGAATATGAGGTTGGCTTTTGTCTCAATGAAAAAGTAATGATGCGCATTTATAAAAAAAAAGCAATGTCAATAAACTATAGTGCGAACTCATTGAAAATTGCCAAAGGGATCACAATCAAATTCGTTTTTAGGTTCCCTCGACGTACGAAAGATACAGATCGGTTTCCCGAGATCCCTACTCGACTATTAACGGCTACACCGTAAGTTTTTTCCCCTTAAAACAATGTTTTTTTTTTATGAAAAAGCACTGGTTGAGAGGGAATCAATGATTGCTACATGGTGTCAAGTGATTTGCTCACTGAACTATGTATCCAAAATAAAAAAAAGATAAGGGATACATTTATCCATTCAACAAACGTATTAACACTAGAGACAATTAAGAGATCAGACACTACTATCGTAATACTCGAATAGTTCTTTAAAACCTCGAATCGTAAAAAAACATTATGATTTTATTGATATCAATATCCTGTAAAATGTTTAAAAAATAAATAAGCTCAATTGATAACGTTAGGCGAAAAGTGCACACCCTTTGTGTGCTGAGGAAGGATGAGCAGAGACAAACACACCACTCCAAAAAGATACTGTTGCGCGTCTTTTCTCCCATCATTGTTTCATCATTTTTGCCACTCGCATTCCTTTTTGTCGAATTTAATCATCAACGCTCTTTTGAAAATCCTAAAAAGAGGACTATAACAAGTGGAAACACTTGATCTTATCCCACCCTTCAAAACCTTCCGTGTTGTTCCGGAACTTCTTTGGCATTGGGAGCAACAGTTGACTTGGCAGCTCGCAAGCTATTTCTTACTTTTATTTAATTATTTCAATAATGTATCTACTCAGCAAGAAAAGGATATTCAGACAACAGTTTGATTTTGTAAGTGCCTAGCACAACGCATTGAATTCCCCTCAATACCACAATGAACATTTTCAAGAGTGGCTTTAAATTATTGATTCTCTAACTACTACCAGTGCTTCCTAATTTATATGTAAACACTCCGGTGTTCCAGTCATATACGTCTTCTCCATCATACATTGAAACTGAATCGACTCGTCGAATGAAACGATACCAAAGAGATACTAGCCCAGCAATGGTTCGCAGCATGTATGAGGTCAGAATCAACAGCAATGTCGGTTCCTGTGTATCTAGAATTTTTCTGCATGGGTCCTCTCACTTTTTCTATCATTTTGTCAAATAGTCCACGTCTAACACGTCTCAAAAGAAGTATTGTACCCAGGCGATCACGTACTAATCGTTACATCCAAAGTCGAAGCATGCGGAATTTTGTCGGTCCTTTCTATATGTTGCATTCATTTCAGGGACGTATTGGTCAGCTTGAAAGATCGCTTTCGAGAGAAATTATTCAGAAAGATAGAGTGAGTTCAAATCAAAAATAATATATGAGATCGCGAGCTGTTTCGTAGAAAATCTGAAATTTGATTCATGCTTCTTTGTAAAACCTGGGTCATGTTTTAGCTTCGTTCCGAATACCAGCAGTTGTCGTCGAAGCTTGACCAAGCTTGCCGTCAAATGGAATTGCTCAGGTCTAATTCATACTGCAACTACCGTGGGCAATCCTTGCCACGCACTAGCGTCTATTCCCACTTCTATCCACACTATTAAGCCTATTAATTTTACACACGATACCGACCGATTTTTTCAAATTAGTTTTGTCATAATAATGCCGCATGTTAAATTAGATCAAATCATCACCCATATATCCTTCTCAATCCCTTCTCTAATTGCTGCCGTGGGAACCTTTCCTGATACTCCAGGAGCGGCTTCCTTGAACCACTATATTTTATCTTCATTTCTGAAATAATCAATTCGATGTTTAGTATTTTAGAATAACTTTCTCACACAAATGTTTTTAATTTGAAGACTTGCAAAATATTCTTCAACTATACCAGGAATGCTATCAAAGTGTAAAAAGAGTTTTCGGGTTGCAGACGCTTAGATACACTTTGATAACATTTCCACTCCAAGCTACATTTTCTGCTAATAATGAGAGTAATAAAATTTGTAAAATAGAAATCAAATGTTATTCACAATTCAATGAATAAAAACTCTTAACACCTCAATGCACATGACTAGAGGTTCATCAGGTATTCCGAATGCAGTGTCATTGATCTCTGTTTCACTTAATTGTTATATGTAGTACTAATATGTCTAGCTTAGATGCATGTCTGTATTTAAGTTGTGTTTTATTCAACAATTTAAAAATTTGAATTACTTTCTTATTTTAGCCCGTATACACCTCCCAATATGGAAGAGCAGCGGCTGATAAATCGTCCCAATATTCAGCGATCCATAGCTTATTCTCTGGATTTACGCGCGACTGGTCTGCCTACAACTGAACGGTAATATTCTGTTTTGGAAATCAAAAAATTAAAATTTAACTTTCAGATGGCGCCTTGGTAACGTAGTGTATGGCGGTCTTTATAAGAAAAAGTACGATGCTGATATTGAAAAAGCTGTAAAATTTTATAGTTCATGTGCCAAACAACGTAAATATCTTTAAACAAGTTTCAATCCTTCTTTTGTTTCATCCCGTGCTGCCAAGTCATTGAAATGTATTCTTCCATGTTCAACGAAACGATCCTAATAGTTTCAATTGATTCTAATTTGACTTCTTCTGTTGTAGTCTTTGCATTGTCTGTTTCCACGTAGAAATCTTTCAATTATACATTTCTTTGCCGACTTTTTTGATTGTAGAAATTCAAATAATCCTTCTCATAAAACTGTAGATTATGCACTGATTTTTTTTTAAATAAAATGTGTTTTGTAAGAGATTCTTTTGTTATATGCAGTAGCCAAATAAAATTTTCATACCGAATAACCATTAGCTATTTGTTTTATAAAATACAATCTATTTTTTGAAGAGTATATCGCCACTGCTTCTGTTTGGATTGGTATCAAATAGCCATGCGTAAAACTTTTGAGATTCGGTATGTTTTGGAGCAGGCTGAAAAAACTATTTTGTTGGGAATCTAAAACGATGTTCGAACCGGAATGATATTCTCTGATGACTCAGCAGCATAGTTTTGCTTTGGTATTTTCGGAGAAGCAAGTTTCTCCTTAGGTTGATCATTTTCTGGTTCCACATCCTCCAATTCGTCTGATTTTGGCGGGTCTTCATTTTCGAAAGAATTATGCAAAGACTCATTCGGCTCTTTTTGAGGCTCTGGAATCTTTCTAGGAGGACACATTGCATATAATGAACTGAAACAGCCGCTTCCAGACCACTTCTGACACGTCTGAAAATTATGACTAAGGGGATATGCAATTGATAAAATATCCTCACATTCATATGACAATACGTATGAATGATGAAAAGCGTTGGACCGAAAATTAAAACGAGAACGGTTGTAATAACAAATAGGAACATTCTCTGAATTATGTAAGTTAAATAAAAAAAATATAAAAATGGAACCTGATGTTCAGCTGAATATAGAATCATTAGCCAAATGGAGAATAGAAAATATGAAATCAACACCAAAGATTTTACTGATCGTCTAAAACAAAATTGCAAGATTTTGAATGACACTGTTATGTAATGTTATATACCTTCCCCAATAACATTGTTTCTCATCCTGCGAATCTTGTTGTTTGTCACAAGCAATACACGCCAATTGGGCTTTTAATGCACAAAATGCCAGAATCACCCATAACGGGATAATATATCCCCATACCGTATCAACTGTTGAAACAACGAAACAACTATAATCATTTTAATATGAATTACGGTAGTCAAAATAGATGTACTGTATTCCCGAGTTTCCGTAGTAAGTATCATCAGCAAAAAATGTGGCAAGTGTTGGAATTACTGCCAAAATAATTGGGATAACCAGATTGAAAATCCAATGAAGTGATCCATTCTTATCCGATTTTCCATGTACCATTCTAAAATTTTTCAGTATTTAATATGTAAATGTATAATTATACATATATGTATATGTATATTTGCTGAAAACAGTTCAATACTCACGATGAAGCAAAAATTGATTCCATGAAAAAGATGGCGCAAGCAAGGGTCATAAAAAATTGAATTAGAATTGCAATAATTTTACAAGGCTTCTGAATTTTGTTTATTTTATTTAGCTAAACTCTTTTGTGTTACCGTTTTTCTTGCAAACGCAAAATTCAAAATGCACGTACAAACTGCCACCAAAATGATCGCAAGTTCTTCATAAAAATGTATGAATCGATGTTGACCTTTATTTCTAAATTCAATTTAATTTTTAAGAAATAGTGTTTGTTAGAAAAAATACCCATGGCAAATGTTGACAAGAATAGTTAAGATGCACCAAAAAATAATCCACCCTCCACAAAAATACATCAAGTACTGAAAATTGAAATTGTTATAATTTAAAATTATAAGCATATTTTATTAAATCTAATAAAACATGTATGCATATAACATGTTTGGTATTTTGAAATTAATTCATCAAATAACATAAAAAAAAATAAAAACTTACTATTGTTATATCGTTGGCATCATCTGATAACATATGAACGTAACATCTTTGAAATATGTATGTTTCATTTTCGGATACTTTCTTGAAATCTTCATTTTCTTTATTGTCGGTCTCATTCATCAAGAAAAACGTAACGACTAATAGTTGTTCTTTTTGCGAAACTAACAAAAAAGGTTCTTGACAATAGTAGGTGTTGAAATTTTAATTATGTTTCCATGTGACCTAATTGAACATTCCGCCTCGTTGTCATGATGATGGTGATGATGTAAAAGTCATCTTTTACGTCGATTTTTTTATTGTTCAAAAATACATATATAAACCAATATTGATAGCATACGTTCGAAAGAAATTAAGAAAGTTGGGGGCATATACATTTTTGACAAATATTGGATTTAAGTTATTTGGGATTATATTTGGCAAGAAAATACTTTTTAAATAAATAGTGAATTACGCAATCTCCGTTAAATTAAGATGGGAAAAAAATTTCAGAAAAAATGGCTATGACAATTGTGCACAAATGAAAAACTTGAATGTATTACTCTTAGGGATTAAGGGATTTTGAGTATTGACACTCGAAGTATTGTGGCAAGAAAAATTTGTGACAAATTGGCTTAGTTACAATTGAAATATGAAAACAAAAATGATCTGAGAATAAATATTAATTTTCAATAATAATCGATCGGCAGCTTCTGTTGAAAATAATAATTTTCATATTACCCAGAAGCCTCACAATATTCCAAAAATATTCCAATTTTCAGAAAACAAATCAACCGTTTTGCGTTGAAGAAACAGACATAGATCGAGAATGATGGAACAATTAAGAAAATTGGAAAAAAACCTATCGAAGTGATGTGGGATTTAAAACATATAAACGAGAAATGGAGGAGTTCGAGAATTAAAAACCTATTGAGGATTATACCACTATTTGTTTTATTTGGCAAACAAGTTAATTCGTTTTAAATTGAGCAAACACACATTCAACTGTTTTTCTAAGGTTCGGAAAGGTTCGGATGATGTGTTTAAACTACATTCTCTAAATTTGTTGGATGATGTTGAATTAAAATTATTATTGAAATAAGTGAACAAAAATAGGATCAAATCAGTAAAAGAAATTTGGCGTTTGGGAATGAATTTTATATGAATACATTGAAGAAATGTAAGAACTCAAATATTATTAATAATCTTGTTCAGTAGTTATCACACGTCGTGCATTTTTCCTTCCTTATTGTCGCAATAATTGTTCCAAAGCGTCTTAGCAAGCTCGTAGCATGGCAGTTCTCCGGCATGAGTTGCAACCATTCGAAGCAAGAATACGCCGTCCTAAATATCACAAATTTGATTTTTTGTTGTTACGGGGAATTCGCAATAGTGAAATAAGCGTATAAATTAATTTTTTCTCTTTCTCTTAACGTGTTTTGTTTTGCATTTTCTCTCAACTTTCAAAAATTTAATATTTTTCTCACTCATACTTAAGTTCTATTTTGTGTTTTTTCATCTTTGAAATATGTTTCGCTTCGAATCTATACGGCAGGTTTTGCCCATTTTTGAATAAAATTTTTTTCCACTGAATAAAAAACTCGAATCGTTTTCCTGAACATATATTTTTCCCTTTTTTATTCCAAACTTATTTCACTTGATCGTTGTTGCCTTGTGCACATTTCTTACCTGTCGCAGGAAATGGAAGACAAATCGTCGGAGTGACTGCGAATCGACCATTTTGTATCCCTCAATACCCGTCAAATATTTTCCGACAAAGTTGAGCTGCCTTCAAAGAAACAATTAGTTGAATTTATGTTTTCCAGCTAGTGCGTGACTCAATAATGACCCACATCCGGCAGAGCCAGAGCATTTTCTTCAAAATACGATTTTTGAAATGTTTGGGCAATAGGGATTGGAAGTAAATGCGAATAATTCACCTGCTTGGTACGACTGAGATGTAGATCCAATAAAACAGTGAGCAAACGGTGGCTCCAGCAAGCAAGAAATACCAGAACCTGAATTGGCGTATATGAAATAAAAAAAAAACGAATGTATACCAAAGGAATAGGAATATCTTTTCATTGAACATATTAATCATAAGAACGCATTGAACGGTGTGTCGGTGAACATTTCCAAGAACTTTAACTTCGAAATCGCATAAAGTGACACGTGGAAAATGCCCTGACTCCTCCCATTCTCGACCGTTCATCAAATCGTTCAACACCTGCAATTTTATTACAGACTGCAAGCAACTAGAATAACTGGTTACCTGCAATCCGTACCACTTGCTGCGATTTCCCAAGAATGTATTCAACAAGAAAATCTGTCCAACAATGTTAACAGTGTACAGAATTTTGACCGAAATGTACAAGAAGGTGACGGCAGCTCCAGACGATCGTGTGCAGATTATCAAGTTCAGAAGTTTCAATCGATTTCCAGACATCTGAATGATATACAAATTTCATTTTGCAATTCTTTCAACTTTAGCAATTTTTGAACAGGCTACGTTTACAATTTCGCTCGTAATCTCGTACAGCGGACAAACAATTTTGTTGACCGGAAGTGAAAAGGAAACAATTAAATTTGTGTCTTGCTCAGGTATCCCTGCACAATAAAAACTTTAGAAGTTTGTACCACTTGGTGTTTCACGTGAAGAGCTTCTTCGACATTCGTAGCGATGGTTTGAAGTGCTCGATTTCTCGATTCCAAATCCAAAAGTCGGGAATCGCATGCCATTTGAACAAGCGATTGCACATGTATTCCTGCAATATATTTGATGCATTGGTGTAGTGACAGTTTTTTAAACACAAGAATTTCTATATTATAAATTAAAAATCAATCCGTGAAATTCAATATTTAAACTTTATTTTCTGTTCTCGAGGATACCTGATTGCCAGCTAAGCAATCTCCATACAATAGTCGGTACATAAAATAGAAGAGCTTCGAGCGCTAACACAAAAGGAACCCATTGATAATACCTGAAAACTGCATTATATAACCAATCCAATATTATAAAACTTTACCCGATTTGTCTATTTTCTCGTTCAGCATAATTATGGGGAATGTAATCATGCAAAGGTAAAAAATAAGTATTTTGAACCCAACAGTAATTTTCGGTATACTGTTCCATGGGTTCGGTGAATGTTGCAGGCACCCAACATTGAATAGGAAAGCCGACATATTGTTTCGCTGAGACAAGGATGGCAAACACTGAAAATTAATTTTATTGCTTCTGCATTTTTGAGTAGTGGTTTCAATAAAAATTTGTTAGGATCTAAATTGCATCATAAAATAATTTCGTTTTTTTACTACGAAAAATTGGATGTAATATTTTATTATCGGTGCATCTATCACAAAATTTTAAAGAATCTCACGTTGATCTAAATATGTACATATATATATATATATATATATATATGCCTATATACATATATGTATATAATCCAATTTTTTTGAAAAGTTTATATTCCAAAACCGCGCGTCGTTTCTTTTCTTTCCCGCGTTGCATGAGGTATAAGTTCATTTGTAACCCTATTCTCGACGAAGTGATTTTCGAGATTCAGTTACATCTTTTTTTTCTTCATTTATTTCTATTGTGCCTACGACGTCGGCGCGCAAATTGAGTTGAAGTGAAAAACAATGCATCTCTCTTTCCCTCCTGCTTTCTCAACATTTTTTCGAGTCTCACATCGATCAAAACTGTTTCGAAGTCTGAATGAGATTTGAAACACATGGCGACGAGATGATAAACTATTCCAAGAGAACACATTTGACCTCTGCTTCTAATTTGAAGTCAAGATTTATGCGATTTTTTGCTGTGTAATACACCGAGAAGATCATTTAATATTGGTTGAAAAACGTGGAGCCGAATAGTAAATGAGATAAGTCTCTTAATAAGTTAATGTCGTAAAATGCTTACCAGTTATGATGGCAGTGGTATAATAGTAGTTGAGCTTGTCAATGATATCATCGTCTACGTGAAACTGTATCGACTTGACAGCACTCGCGAAATAATATAGTAACATACTCATCTACGTCATGCTGTGCGGCGCCCGCAGCGCCTTGATTTGATCTGAAATAATAAGCTAATTTTATTAATGTAATTGGAAAATTTTGCAAGAAAATGCGGAAAACGAAATAATTAAAATCGTAAAAAAGAACAAAAACTTGGAAAATCGGGGAAAAGTATATACATATATAAAATTAAAGTTGGAATTCAATTTTTGAAATGTAAGAGGAAACTCTGGGAGTAGAAAGATATTTTTTGAACTTCTTCTTTTGTTTCATGTTCAAATATATGTAGGTGTAGATAATATATGACGGTTGTCCCAAAATGGCGATGTCTGAGATAATGTATTTTTTTGGATGCTTCAATGTGAAGGGGGTCACGTTGAAAATTGTCACTTTGAAATTTTTCAATAATAAGAAATGTGAATATATTTTAAATTCCACACTCAAATTAAACAATTCAGTGTGTTATTTTCGCTTCGTTCATCACGATACTATGAAAATTCGGAATTGATACCAATGCATTACATTTCAATTCAAACCTAGTGTGCATGCTATACATCTCTCAAAAATTAATTAGGCCAATTCGTTGAGCTAGGACTACAATCAACGGAAACCAATAAACAGCCTAAAAACAAATGAATAAATAAATAAACGTAAAGGGTGAATGAATGAATAAATGAGCGCGCGAATAAATGGTTTTCACGGGAGTCGAAATGCTATTGAGAAGTGTTGGAACATCTGTTTTTATGCATCCGTGACATTTATTTATAAATTCACTCAAGAATGTTTATACATATTCGAGGATTGGAAATCGTAAAATTTTTCCTAAAAAATTTTTCCAAAAAATTTCAATTAATTGTCTCCCACGTTTCTTTTATCATGGTTATGAAATAACGGGACTAACAATTGTATCGCATTGGGGGATGCACGCTCGAAAACACACGGAGAGCCAGCTTTTCCTCGAATTTTGATGGCAGCGCAAGAGCATGAAAAGACTCAGACGTGTATTATTTCTCTTTTCTTTTCTCTTTTTCATTCTTCGTCGTCTTTTTTCTTCATTTTCTTATTCTTCTTTTTTTCATCTTTCTGAATTTTGCTTTTTTTCCACAATGACGTAATGCACAAAAGCAGCTGAGTTTGAGGCATGCCGGTGTGTATGATGCTTCTACGCGCCAGTCAAATGCATGGTTTGAAAAAGAATGAAGAAAAAAAACGAAAAAAATGGATATATTAATGTGCATCTATTATTTAGTTAATACTTAAAAACAAAATAACATTTAGATCATAAAAAATATTAGCCAAGAAGGCGGTCTTGAGAAAAAATAATAATTTTCATTCAATAAAAAAATTCAAATTAATATTTTTTTAATGCATATGGTGGTAGGTTTCCGTTAAAATCATGCATAAATTAAAACACTGAAACGTTAGAAAAACTACACATGTATGCATTGCCAATAGCCAAATAAGAAATTTTCAACACGAAACACTTACATACATATATATATATATTCAACAACTTAAGAAAAACTTCTTATGGATACAGCATACAATGTATCGTTGCGGAAATTACTCATATATATATTGTTTTTGTTTTTGCAGTTCTGAAGTTTCAAGAATTTACTAAAGAATTTAAGAATTTACTAAAGAATTTAACGTGGTTGACACACTTAATTGGGTAAAAATTTTAGATTTTCAATCGACGAGAAATAGACAATCAACTGCTAGTTGCATAATAAAGTTGTGAAAGGTTTTTTGGATAAAAATTACGCAAAAAACACGTCTTCTGGTTTATTATTGAATATTTTATTAGTCGGGTGGTTTTAAGCAAAAGTGTAATCATCAGTGCTCAGTGGAGCAGATCGTGGAGCACGCATGAACCACTGGCATCGAATAATCAGAAACCAAACACTTCTTTTCAGAAGCCTAAGAATAATTGATCATGGTGTGTCAAGTTTTGGCGCAGTGGACTTTGGATTTTGAATATGATGAATGCAATTTTGAAAATTGCGGAAAAAAATTTCAAAAAGAAAAATGAAAAAAAAAAAAACAAATCACCCGGGAGAATTGTGTCAAAACAAATTCGCTCTCAAACGTTGGAACCAAAAAGTGGTGTCATCGCCGAGTGGCATTCCTTATCCACTTTTTCTGTTTTCATCTTCTTCAAAAAAATGTGAATCATGAAAAATTAGGAAAATATTCTATTCTACATTAGTGGAAATAATAAAAGAAAGTATATTTTTTTGAAGTTGTCACGAAATTTTGTGCTCAAAAATGAAAGAACATGTTGAAATAAGTTTTATATTCTGGTTTTCTTATGATTCAAAGAGCTTTCTTTTACATAATGGAGGGAATGCAAAAATTTCGTCACGGTTTTTGAAGTTCAATTTCAAAGTTCCTAAAGAATCAATGACAGAAAATGCATTTAAATTATAAAGGGTTCTATTTCGAAATCAATCTGAATACATTATAAATATTACATTCCTATAAGTCAGAAATCCCAATTAATTGAAATGATCCGTCGAGATTCAAATTTCATAACGATATGTGATATCCTTTAAGTGCTAATATTGCAATTCATTATTTATGTCTGATGAATTGTGAGAGAAATGTATGCATACAAACATGTTTGTGAAAATTTTGAATAATTTGACTACGAAATATGTATGTATCTATTAATCATACGTATTTCGAATAATTGAAATTTCGTTACATCTTAATTCTAAATTTTAGAATTGAGACCAACAAATTTCTGAATATGCAATATTTGTCGTTTTCTATTAGTTCTATTATGTTTCTTAAAAAAATTTAGTTTTTGTTTTTTTTTTAGATTTTAGCTATTTTGAAATCTGTTGGTATTCATGTTAACTTCTGAATTGGTATCCGTCGTCGGCTGGAATATGTAAGACAACCAGGTTGGTTGACAAGCTACGTGAAACACGTGCACGTATTCATCCATCAGAAAAAACTAGCGGCACATTTGATGGAAAACGAAAGAAAACGAAATGTTGCGAAAAACGCACACCTTCCATCATCGACAGCACCAAATCCTGCGACGAGATCCTAAAGAAGAGTGTTTTGTTTGAGTGCGTTTTGGGGAAAACTCTCGCGCTCTCTTATTGCGACGAATGCTTTTCGACGTGGTATGCTTTAAAGAAAGGGATGTATGGAAGGAGGGGTGGGGGGAATCGAGGTGGAAGTGAAAGAGGCATGCCGAGGGAGGAACTAGGCTTCAAGGGTCTCCCAAAATCGATGTATTGCGGCGGCATCCGACGATGGCCGGGAATGGAATGAAGAAGGCGTGAAGCATGAAAATAGCTAGTGATTCGTCGCATACGCAGCCAACACGGAGTTTTTGCGACGAGTTTTGAAACTCGCCGTGCAAACCGCTTTCTATCTCTGTGCCGGAGCCCGAAAAAATTTTGAAGTAAAGGACCACGAAGTATGTAGGTCGTGCGATGAATAAACTCCATAAAATTGCATTGAAATGAGAAAATACGGCGAAAGTACGCGAATCAACATTCTCAAAACATTGAATACATTTATGATATCACAAGTCTAATTCAGCAGAACTTAATATTCTAATTTATGTGCACTTAGACTGTTTAGCTCATTTTTCGTAATCGCATTTTTTATTCATTTCACTTGAAAACCTCGTCAACCAGAAAAACTCAATTATGGAATTTGCTCCGCCTACACTCAGAATTCAGCAAATTGCGCCAGCGATGAAATAATAATGTGGTAATGGAAAAGTTTATCGGATTTCATGAATGAGATAAATGTCGAGGTGCCACCAATTGCCAAACATGTCAATTCCAGAACAATGGTAGTTGGATGTCATTAACAACGATTTAATCGCTAGCCAAATAATTCATTGAATCAATATTAGGAAGAATTGCGGATAAATTCGTACGAATTGTTTTTCACTCAAAAATAACTGCGCTTAACAAACAAAGAAGGAAAACTCCTCATTCATCTTTGTTTTGCTTCAGCTTTTTCAGTAGGATACAAGTTGCTTGAATAGGAAAACGCTAAATCGAAAATAAATACATTTAAATATAATATCAATCAAAATAATAGGAAAAAATAATAGAAAGAAAAACAAAGTAGAGGCTCATTTAAGTTGCTGCAAGATATTAGATATTTATGAATAAGCGCCGAGTATTGAGACTGGTAAATATTAGGAATGAACTAAATCAATTTTCAATATGAGCACCTATGAAAACATTTGTATCGAACTTGTTCACTTCTCGAGCAAAAGTGATGGGAAAAAGAAACCTTAGAATGAATGCAAAACATAAGATGAGAAATAAAAGAAAATGAAAAAAAAAAGAGAAAAACGGTGTGAACGGAAAACACTGAGAATTCCTGATTATTGTCAGAATGAGAAGACTTTTCTGGGTGAGTGGTTTTTTCTCATGGAAGTTTTTCACTCCCAAAACGGATTGGATACGTTTTACTTGCATTCAAAACCTTTTGGTTAATTATTTTCTTGAAAAGGCTATTTTCAGAAACAATTGTTTTTTGAAGATGAATATGATGAAGGATTGGAAAATTGAATTTTAATGTTCTTTGCAGAGAGGAACTTTTATTAGCATAGCTCAACTTTTGAGCCCTAGCACATAAAATATTGAAAAAGTCGTAAAACGAAATTGCTCATATAGTTGGTTTTATAGGTCATTCTTGAAAGTTTAGTATTCTCGAAAAAGGAAAAGTTATAAACTATGTATTTGGAGTTTGTATACAAGAATCGAGTGTTTATACGTCGTTTTAGTTACGAACTCTTCACACTCAAAACACTTGAGAATACTATATCTTGCACAAATTAGAGCTAAAATCTCGAGAGAAGCTTGCAGTGAAATATGTTTGAAAACGCGACAACCGTACAACGGCTACTTTTCAATTCAAGTGGCCACTGACAATTCATCATTTCCATAGAGAAGCATTTCTAGGTTGAAGACTCCGAATACCTCCTCTGGGAATATTTTGGCGCAACGCCACCAATGTTGTCAAAAAA